TACAGTGCAGTGGCACAATCTCAGTAATCTTCACCTCCTGGGTTCAAATGATTCTCCTGCCTCAGCTTCCCAAGTAGCTGGGATTACAGGCACTCTCCACCACACCTGGCTAATTTTTGTATTTTTAGTAGAGACGATGTTTCCACATGTTGGTCAGGCTGGTCTTGAACTCCTGACCTCAGTTGATCCACCTGCCTTCCCCTCCCAAAGTGCTGGGATTACAAACGTGAGCCACCTCGCCAGGCCGAGAGACTCTTAATTTCTTACAAGCTCGGGGTTAAGGGGGTGCCCCTGCTGCTGGTGTGCAGACCCCACTTCGAGTACTGAAGGGCTGGTCCAAATCCCCCCTATACAGAATCAGCCACGTTGAGAAGCAGGTGCCATGAGTTTAATCAAATGGACTATCTGAGGCAGGAAGAACCCCAGAAATGACACTGGGTTCCCCTTGGTGCTTCCTGTCATGGGCACACGGTGTCACCCCGGAGCTGGTAACACAGATCACTCGGTGTCAGCGACATCTGGCAGGCTTCCCTTGACCATTTTCCCCTTTGAAACTAATAAGTATGTCACAGAGAGGTACTTTGAGACGATGCAGATGGCTGCTTTTCATCACACTTGGGCTCACTGACGTCAGCGGCGCTGATGGGTTTGCCTGAAACGGCTACAGTGCTGTTTGCGAGCGGCGATTTTCTATTTCCATCGTTCCCTCTGGGTTTATTAATTTTTAAGTTCAAATTACACAGACCTACTGTAATACCAAAAGAGCCCAGACACCCTTGAGCTGACATCTCAGCAACGTCTGCCCCTGACTGCGGGGACGGCAGCTGAGCGGGCGGCTTCCTCCCTGGCGAGGTGAGCTCTGCGTGCCAGCCCTGCCCGCACCTCCCAGCCTTCCCCTCAGTGTCCATGAGCCACCATTCCCCCCACAATCCCTCCAGCCTGAACAATCGAATCCTACAGTGGACCACGACTCTCCCAGCAGCAGGCGTTTAACATCCAGTTAGCAGGTTCCCACCACACGTGCGCTGCTCCAACACAGCATCTGCACCGAGTTCCCGAGAATTGTCAACCCACCAAATCCCTTAATTGGTGGACATGAAAATCCAGGGCTTCGTGCTGTAATAACAGAGTCCTGGGGGCCTGGGGAGTTTGTGTCGCTTGGAGCTCAGGTTTCTGGGACAGGGGCTGAGTGCGGGGCAGGGAGGCAGGTCTCACCTGGCACCTCCCGGAGTCCTCACCGAGCAGATGGAAGCGGAGCCTCTCGCGCCCGGCCCCCGCCGGGAGACCTCTCTCTCTTCCCCTCGGCCTGCTCTGCCCTCTCCCGCCTTCTCCCTGTCTGATCCTTCTCTGCTGTCATGTTCTTTGTCCTCGTGCCACACGCTGTGATTACACGCCAAGAGTCACCCTGCAGCGACAGCTAAAGGACGACCCGCCGGGCACATTCTCAATTCTCCCGGCCTCCCGACCTGCCGGGCCTTCTCCTGGGCTGGGGGCATCTTGAAAGCAGAACAAGTGGCCTCTGAAGGCTGGCAGGCAGCTGTCCTCACGAATGCCACAGCCATGGGCATGCATTTAATTGCCGGGAGGGACCATGGAGGCCATGTGCCTCCCTCCCAGCCCTCATCTACTCACAAGAGGAAACTGAGGCCCAGTAGGGCAAAGAGATGGGCCCAACAACAGGCAGGCAGGAGGGAGACGTGGAGGGGATAACAGCAGGAATGCCGCCCCAGACGGCCTGAGATTAAAGTCTAGCTCTAGCATTTCTGAGCGGTAGAGCCTCAGGTAACTGAATCCACTTTTCTGGGCCTCAGTTTCCCCAACCACAAAATGGGTAACACAATGGTCTCTATCCCTCAGGGGCTGTTTAACAGTTAAATGAGTGAATACACTTATGAAGCACTGAGAACAGGTCCCCACAGAATCAACAGCCCTGAGTACCGTTTTATCCCAAGCTCAATTCAGCGCCCTTCCTCGGGCTGCAGCTGGACGGGGTTGTACCACACATCAAATCCTGCCTGCTGGGGCCTACAGAGCATCCCGGGGAGAGCGCTGAGGATGCCTCCAGCCCGGCCCACTTCCCAGAGCTGCGGGAGGACAGCCTGGGTCCCTCTGGGGCCTTCGTCAGCTACTCTGCCTCAATTAGGGATATCTCAGGGTCTGTGGGTCTCACGAACCTCTTCGCTTCAGAACAAGGTGCGTGTGCAGCCCCAAAGTCCAAAGAGAAATTAAGAGTCTCTCGGCCTGGTGAGGTGGCTCACACTTGTAATCCCAGCACTTTAGGAGGGCAAGGCAGGTGGATCGTCTGAGGTCAGGAGTTCGAGACCAGTCTGACCAAAGTCCAAAAAGGGGACACAGCTGCATGCCAAGCAGAGCCAAGATGCTGAGGGCGCGTGGGGTTGGCACCCAGTCTCCGGAAGGCCAGAGTGAGCAGGCCGCTTTCAGCCTCCACCAGTTCAGCATTTGGTTAGGGTGAAGTGAGGAGGGGAGACCCAGGCAGTGGAGAAGGGGCAGGAATCTGTGTGGCCAGGCCCACAGCAGAGGCGTGGCTGCTACCCCCCAGGTGGAGCCATCCAAGGGGTTCCAGCCTCTACTCCTGTCAGCAGCCGCCACGTCATGAGGTGGTCAAGCGGCCTCGTGCAGAGGCTCACTTTGGGGACAGGAAGCCACGCGCCTACCATGGGAGGGAGCTGCCGCCTCTGAAGCGGATCCCCCCGCCCAGCCCAGGCCAGGCTGAGGTGACTCCAACCCAGCCGATATCCAGCTACAACTTCACAAGAAACCCCAAGCCAGAACCGCCCAGTGGAGCCATGCCAGGAATCCTGACCCACAGAAACTGTAAGAGATCGTCGACAATTACTGTGATTGTAAGCCACAAGGTTGGCACTGATTACTTATGCAGCCCAGATAATTAATACGGCAAAGAATTATGCAAATTCCTCAAGAAACAAGACTTCAAGGCAGGTAATAACGTTGAATCTCGACTAAAATCCTGATATAGAAAAAAAGCATCAAATTATGGGCAGAAAGAAAGGAAATCATAATTTTTAAAAATCCTCCAAGGAAAAACAAGTCTCTGAGTGTCCCCGGCTAATGAGCGGCCCCCGATCCTCAGGGCGCTGTGACCTCGCGATCAAACAGTCTGGGCTACCTGCACATTTCCCTCATCCTGTCCAGCTCTGATTTTCCGAGTCAGCCCTCACCAGGTTTGGTAAATGCCCTGGGTCCCCAAAACACACATGAGAACTCTGAACTGGACTTTTGGCAAAAAACAACTTTCAGGAACCTGGAGGAAAAAGCTTTAAAGTCAGTCTACCCCAGCAGGAGGCTGGTCAGTGGCAAACGGATCTAAAATAATCACGAAAACCCAGCAACCCACAGGCTCACCCCAGACGGGGCACAAGGTGGCAGCTGGCACCATCTGTGCCATCTAAGACCCTAGCAGGGGCTCTGTATGTGGGTGGCAAAGCTGGGGACGGTGGGGTTTCTGGCGAAATAACCCCGGCACGCCCTGGTGGCTGTGTCCTGCTCAGATGACGTGAATCTATTCCACACTGCTTCCAGAGCTCCCAAAACCGAGAGCGGCGATGATGGGCCTGGAAGGAACGTTCGTCCCGTGTACACTCTCCAGCCTCCTGCCCCATCACTGGATACCTCCCGTAACCTGACGTGGGCCGACACCCTGGAAACCACACCCACGTGCCTTGGTTTTTGCCCACGGTGACCAGGTAGGAGGACACCTGAATTTTACATTCTTCCAGGGCGTTCTCCTTCTGAAGCACTGCACAGAGTCGTTAGCGCAAAATAACAAAAACGGAGTCCCTGAAAGTGATTGGAGCCTATTAGCCCCAACTAATTAAGAGGCAGCTCCGATGCAGGGTAACTTCTCATCTGGCGTTTAATACGCTCACTCCACCCCCGTGGGCCGCGGTTTAGCCGCCTACAGAGGGGATATGATAATAATTATCTCCTTTGGAGAGGTGCTGTGAGGGTTAATTAACTGGTGCCTGGAACTGCTTGGAGCTGCTGGTAGCCAGGACTTGGAGGGTGCGAGTGCCACTAACCAGAGTGCTGTTCTCAGAGGAGCCATCACCTGCCTGCTTTCAAGAGGGCCTCTTGTATCCCCGGCTAACTGGGACCTGGGACAAATCACAGGGCTTCTGCAGGCCTCGGCTGTCCTCCCTGTGAAGGTTCAGAACTGACAGCCTGGAAAGTCCCGTCCAGCACTAAGGCTCTGTGGAGGCTATGCCGAGAGAGGCCGTTTGCACTGTGGGTTCATTTGCTTCTTGACATTTCTGGGTCCCTGCTGAAGTGACTTTGGAGCAGGGAGAGCCTTTCATCTCAAACTTCTCCACAACCCATCCGCGACCCAGGGCAGCAAGGGCACCTCTGACCTGGCCCAGGTGCTGGAGCAAACCTGAATGGGATGACCTGGGCAGGCAACACTGGGACCTGGCTCCAATTCAGCCTGAGCACCCACGGGACCCTGTCCTTGTCACTGCTGGTGCTGCTTTCCTCCGCACTGGCTTTCTAAGTGATCAGACGCAGTTACACAAAAGAGGGTCCTCAGAGGGCTTGAAAAATGGAGAAACACGGACATAGATGCCAGAGGGTAAAGGTGACATTTTATAAAGAATGACAGCAAAGACGGTGTGGGGAAGTCCCCAAATGAAAGAAACCATGTGGCCAGGTGCTATGGCTCATGCCTGTAATCCCAGCACTTTGGGAGGCCAAGGTGGGAGGATCACCTGAGGTCAGAAGTTCGAGACCAGCCTAGCACACATGGTGAAACCTCGTCTCTACTAAAGATACAAAAATTGGCCAGGTAGGTGGTAGGTGCCTGTAGTCTCAGCTACTTGAGAGGCTGAGGCAGGAAAATCACCTGAACCCAGGAGGTGGAGGTTGCACTGAGCTGAGATTGCACCACTGGGTTCCAGCCTGGGTGACAGAGCGAGACTCTGTCTCAATAAATAAATAAATAGACCATGTGACCCAGTGGGGCAGCCCAGGAGTGGTGCATTCCCTGGGTGGAATCTGAGAGCTTGGGTGCTGGATGGGGCCGCGGCCAGAGAATCCCCGCCCTGGACTGGCAGGGGCCTTACTCAAGGTCACCTGGCCAGGGGAAAGCAGGGCTGGGTACACTTTTTCCAAAACCTCCGACTTCTGGCCCAGGCCCTTCCCACCATCTCAAGCACCGCCTGCTGGGAAGCTGGGTCTCCAAGGGCCAGTTCCATCTGCTCCGAAACAGCATGTGCTTTGGAGACTGCTGCAGACCTTCCCAGCACCGGGCGTGTCGCCAGCAGAACTGCTGCCCTCAGCAGCCCGTGGGTGAAAGGAGAACTTTCTGGAGCCTCGGCAAGGCTCAGCATCCCCCTCAGTTCTGCGTGTGCAGAGAACTGAGTAATTTCACTCAGACGCCCTGGAGTCACCGCTCAAACTTAATGAGCTGCTGTCCCCCCAGCTGATGACACTGCCGGAGTTTGCTCTGAGGTGGCGTTCCTTCCACTGGTAAATGGGCTTTTCTGGAAACAGACAGCCTCGCTGGGGGAGGGGAGGGACAGGGAGTCCGAGAATTCAAGCGAAGACAGAGAAGCTGGAGGTGAGAAAACGCCACCTCCCGCAATGACACAGGGTTTATGGGGTCAGGAGCTTGGGCGGCCCCACGGAGCAGGCAGGGGCAGCACCACCTCACAGGGAGGAAACTGAGGCACTGACCCACGGAGCTACTTAACTTTTTACTTTTATTTTTTTGAAACAGGATCTTGCTCTGACCCCCAAGCTGGACTGCAGTCGCGTCCACATGACTCACGGCAGCCTCCACCTCCGGGGCTCCAGTGATCCTCCCTTGAGTAGCTGGGAACACACATCACCATGCCCAGCTCATTTTTGTACTTTTTGTAGAGCCAGGGTCTCGCTATATTGCCCAGGCTGGTCTCAAACTCCTGGGCTCCAGTGACCCGCTACCTTGGTCTCCCAGACTGCTGGGATTCCAGGCATGAGCCACCACGCACGGCCCCATGGCACAACTTTAAATCAGCTTGTGGCAGGCTCGCCTGGCAAAAGGTATTTCAGGATTCAGAACAGAACCCGCAGAGTTCACAGGAAAATACAGGTTCCCCCTGGGGCCTTGGCCTGAAGCCTCTTCCTCCCTCCCCAGTACTTCTCCGCCCTCTGGCCTTGAAATCTGCCACATCGTTTTTATGTCGTCTGCGTTTTTGTTTTTGTTTTTGTTTTTAATCTGGGCATTTCTCCATCATCTGGGAAGGACGCTGGTGTTGAGGCTGATGTCCCTATGAAGGACATGTCCCTATGAAGCCAAAGCTTCCAGGGCTCTGAAAAACCTCAGCTGCGTCGCCTCCTGGCCATGTCTGCGATTTCCTGTATGGAGCACTGGCTGTCTCTGGGGGCTGCACCTCTCTGCAAAGTCTGCGGTGGCTGAACCAAGAAAGAAGTGGTTCGCAGAGTCCTACGGAAATCAGGACTCCGTGAAACACTCTGAGGACACGAGGAAGGCTGGTGTCTTTCAGAGTGCAAGGCGATTCTGGAATAGAAAAATCTCTTTGGGCTGAGTTGGCTAAACGTTTGTCACTGACCTGTGTCCCTGAACTACAAAACACGAATACGTGATTTCAGAAACAGTTTCTCTTGAGAAATAAGCAACTGGCAAGTACTTTGGACAGGAAGTCTTTGCTAAATTATTCTCATTGATAATGTAAGACGCTTATCTGCGTCAGAATTGGTCTGGGATTTTTAACTGCGTGTTTATGAAGCTTATGAGGCTCATGCAAAAGTATCTGGGATAAAAATATACCCCTGAAGAATCTGGGGGCAAACGAAACCAGAAACAAACCTTGTGAATTCCGCTTACGGGGGCCAACGAGGCTCGGATGGTTTCCTTAAAACCCGCTTTTACTAAAGGCAGTGTCTTTTTGCTTAAAAAAGCTGATGAAAAACAGGCAAACACACACAAAAACAGAGAAGCAACGCACTGCTCAGTAACGGTGCGCAGAGCGCCCTGCATCAGGTGCGCGTGGAGAGGGATGGCCAGCGCTCCCGCCAGTGGCCCCACTACTCAGGAGCAAGAACAGAGGGTCTCAGGCCACGCCCTGCAAAGGGCCTCGGTCAGAGGGCAGCACCCCCGTCCCCTGGCGCTGTAGGAGGCTGAGTCCAGGGGGCCTCACCGGCTTGCATTCAGACCCTGGACTTCAGCCAGGGACATGGGCCCCTCTCCTCCATCTTCTCACCTGTAAAATGGGGCCATGCCCAGGACCTCCCTGGAAGGACAGCTATGAAGTTAAAATTGGCGACACGGTCAGGACACATGCCGCCAGAACTGTGACTCCTATAAACGGAGCTGGGAAGCCTATGTGGCTGCCTGCTTTCCCACCTATTCCCTTCCATGTGCACACATGGGACCCAGGGACCCACAGCAGGAAGGAACCCCGAGGTGGAGGACAGGAGGAATCCACAGCTCAGTCCCAGGCAGAGGCCCAGCAGAAGCTCATGTCCCAGGGCCGGCCTGGGGTCTGCCATGGGCATGGACCACGCGAATGCTGAGGGCTGGTCCAGACAGAGCCGGAAGGCAGGGGCAGCAGAGAAACAGGCCTGAGCTGCTAGAAAGACATAAAGCAAAGAGGAGATGCTTCGTGGGGGTGGGGGTTCCCCGGCAGACCACCACACACCCAGCCCCTGCCAGCCTGCCCAGCTGGAACCCAGGGGCTGTTCTGGGTGGAGTGGAAGGGGGGCTGGATGAGGCACCTGTGTAGGCAGGAGGCCTTCAGAGTGAGGCTCTGACTCAGCATAATGGGCAACACCGGGAGTGTTTTAGAAATTCAGGGTCCCGGGCCTGTCCCCAGCTGCCTCACATACATATCTGAGCAGCACGGGCTTGGCCTGTGCCCAGCCAGCACCCAAGGGACAGGCCCCACCAGACTGGCTGCTCAGCCCCTTCTACCTTTTATGGAGTGGGTTCTGGCCCTCACAGACCCTGAAACCGTGCTCTCTCCTTCAAGACTCCTGTGAAGGGCTCCAAGACACCCCAACTCTCCACATGCAAAATGTGACCCAGCCAAGGCCTGTCCAGAGGCGCTGGCCAGAAACCCGGGAGACTCTCCTCCCCGTGGGCAGCCCCTACAGTTCCCCAACGCCCCTGCTCCGCCTCACCCTGCCCCAGTCTCTTCTCTATTTCTCTCCACTCCACAGACCAGCCGGGGGGTCTCAGGGGCCTCTGACAGACCAGGTGTCCCCTACGCCCCTTCCCCAGCCCTTTCCCCAGATCCAGTCCATTCTGGAGCAGCTATTAGGGACTTTGAAAATGCCATCTGACCCTCTATTCCTGCAACCTGAAACGCCCAGCGTCCTCCTGCTCTCAGAACAAAGCCCCCAGGCCTGGCCTGGCTGCAGGGTCCCCTCTTGGCCACCCACCCTGCCCAGCACCTTCTCTAGAGCCCAGCCTTGGGGGCACTCCAACTTGAATGTGTGTGGGATTGTGAGGACACCTGCCTTTCAGAGCCCCAGTGCGAAGCTCCTGAATCAGGGGGCCTGGGTGGGGCATCTCTTAAGGAGCTCTGGGTGGCATCTGGCTGCTGGGCCACCCCACACCCCTCCGAGGGCCCTGCCCTGGCCCAGGCTGACAGCAGCACAGGGGTCCATCCTGTCTCCCACCACCGCGGCATCCTCCACGCCTTTCCCGGCCACTTGCCTCTGTGGCCCCTCATGGTCGTCATGGGGAGGTCACCCCAAACCCGGCTCCCTTCTGCATCAAATATCCTTAATACTGCTCCCGAGGGCCTGCGCTGGCTGAACCTGCTCAGTGACTCAGGAGCTGACTCCATTTCATTCGCCAGCAGCAGGCTTTGGGGCAGCAGGCAGTACACGGCGGTGCTCAGGAAACCGTGCAGTGGATGAATCACCGACCTGGATGGGCTCGGAGCCAGACTTCCCGGTCCAGTGCGTACTGGCTCAGAGGCTCCCAGGGCACCTTCCTGAGGTCCTCCTACCTCAGTTTCCCCCTCCAAAGTAGCACCCGTTGCAGCAAGTGAGGAGACTGACGTCAGGTGCTTAAACAGTGCACACACAACACTTGGCATGGCTCGGTAGCCACGGGAGGGTCTTCCAGCTGTGCAAGGTGGAAACAACTGGCCTGGCCTGGTGCTCCCAGCTGTGTGACCTTGGGCAACGCACTCAACCTCTCTGGGCTTCAGTTTCCCCATCTGCAAAATGGGGATGCCAACCCCAAGGAAATCTAATAGGACCAAAGAAATCTAATAGGACCCAAGGAAATCCAACAAGACCATCTTCTCTGTGGCTCTGGCTACACCCCAGGCACTGCGCTAGCACAGGTCTCCACTGTCTCTCAGTCCCTGCTTACCCATCGCTGAAAGGGGAACCCTGAGGCCCAAGGATGTAGGAAGCAGCCCCTCTAACTTTGCCTACAGCCCTGCAGCATGCGGCACGGCACCCACCTGTGCAGAAGGGAACTGGGCCAGAGAGCAGAGAGCAGCCAGCAGGCAGGGCTTCCCCCGCCACCCTCCTACCAGCCAAGCCCTTCCCTTCCCAGGCTGAGGGCGCCATCTGCTGGGGGCATGGGCTCGGCACCCGGGTTCATCCCTTTGCTTAGTTTCCACCTCGTCTCGGGCCCCTCATAGGGGGCTGCACCTTTACGTGCCCCTATTCAGTCCCTGGGGTCCCCTCACCCTAACTACCTCCCCACCTCCAGGACAGACCTCTGGAAATCAACTTTGACCCCAAGGGCCCTGGGGATGGCCCAGAGAGGACTCGGCAGGGAGAAGTGTGCAATGGTGGGGCCAGCTCCGGAATCTTCTCTCTTTTCATTGGTGCCATTTGAACGCAGTGGCTTGCCCAGTGAGGCAGGTCTGAGACTCGAAGCAAGGTACTTCTGCTCCTTGTCAGTGCCAAGGGGGTGAACCCTCAGCACCCCCGGCTCATGCTGTCCTGGCACAGCCTTTGCCCCCTCGGTACCCTCTGTCTGGGCTCTGTCCCCTGCCTGCCCTCTGCCCAGCTTTTCTGTCCTGTCCTTCCTTCAGTGTGGAGGAGCGGGGGCTGCTGGAGCCCTGGCTGGCTGTCCTAGAAGGGAGATGTCCCGTCTCCTCTCAGTTCCAAGGCCTGTGTGGTTTGGGAGTAAGACTTCAGGCTGCACGGAGCAGGGGAATTTTCCTCTGAGGATGGGGCCTGCACAGGCCCAGGTCTGCGTCTGTGGATCAGCTGACGCTCCGTGTCACGCTCCCTGGCCAGCCACAGCAGAACAGTGTGGGGCCTCTCACACCTGACAGACTCCTGGCTCTGGGCACCAGTTGTCGAGGAGCTATAATAAGGATTGCTTTGAGTCTCAAGGCTGCTGATGGAGAAACTGCAGAAAACGCCTGGTCTCATTCCAGGAACTGCAGGAGGAGCCAGAACTGGGATGGCGGGCAGTGAGGGCCAGGCCCCGCGTGCATCTGCAAGGCCCAGGACTCAGCTTTCTGCAGCAGCAGGTGACCTGGGGCAGCCTCAGGGTCACCCTGGACCAGCGCTCTGGTCTTAGTTCCTCCCAGTGGCGAGAGGGGGCAGGCGCCTAGGCCCCGTTTAGCACTGCTAAGCCTCAGCTGCCCATCCCACGTGGGAGGCTGGGCATCCCTTCAACCGCCAGGGCCCCTGCCCACAGAAGCCTCACGGCCCTCTTGACCCTGCTGAGGCCATTCCTAAACCCGACAGGTAGCAAAGTGCACAGCTACTGGAACCCTGGGCCCAAAAGCTTCTGAGCCAGGTCTTAAGAGAGTCACTGCAGCCACCTGGCCAAGTACTCGATAAATACACCAACACACCCTTTCCCTCCTTTACCTTTATCTGTTTTATTTTATTTACCTATTTATTTTTGAGATGGAATTTCACGCTTGTAGCCCAGGTTGGAGCGCAGCGGCCTGATCTCAGCTCACTGCAACTTCCACCTCCTGGGTTTAAGCGATGCTCCTACCTCAGCCTCCTGAGTAGCTGGGATTACAGGCACCTGCTGTCACACCTGGCTAAGTTTGTATTTTTAGTAGAGACAGGGTTTCTCCATGTTGGTCAAGCTGGTCTCGAACTCCTGATCTCAAGTGATCCACCCGCCTCGGCCTCACAGAGTGTTGGGATTACAGTTGTGAGCCACCATGCCTGACCATGTTCACGTGTACAATTCAGTGGCAGTCAGGCCTTCACAATGTTGTGCCGCCACTACCTCTCTCATTCCAGAACTTTTTCATACCTAAAAGGAGACCCCATGCTCCGAGCAGTCACTCCTCTAGCCCCTGGCAGCACAAGTCTGCTTTCCGACACTATGGACTGGCCTGTTCTGGAAGTCCCACATGAACAGACTCATAGACCAGACGGCTCTGGTGACTGGCTTCTGCCACTCAGCATGATGTTTTCACAGTCCATCCACGCTGCACCACAGGTCTGCTTGGGCACCCTTGCAAGGATGGCTTCGGGTTCTTTCCTCCCGTGGGTGCCAGCCGCCAGGGGCAGCCCACACTCAGCCGGGCCTCCCTGCACACAGACCCGCAGCACCTCCAGAATAAGCCAGCTCTGAGCACAGCTCCACCCCTTCCGCTGCCTGGACCTGAGGGACCCCAGGCACCATCCCGTGGATATTCAGAAGGTTTAGAATGCCACCGATGGCTGAAGGGTGACATGTAGAAAGATCTCACCAAAACCAGTTTTCCAAGAAAACAGAAACTGCCAGCATTCACCCAAGTAGAGACGCAGACAGATCTGGAATCGGGGCGGAAACAGAAGAAAGCTGTCCAAAGATTCACTCCAGGAATGGCAAAAGCTGACAGCTCCTCAGCCCGAGGCTCCTTCAGACGTGGAAAACCACCATGCACGAAGCCCTTCCAGAGCACAGCCAAAGATGGGGGCCCCCACCCCTCCGTGCCGGGAATCGTGCAGCCCAGACCCTGCCATCCCAAGCAGAGCCTGTGGGCCTGCCTGTGCCCCCAGCTAATGGCAGCCGAATGGGATGACGGCAACGTGGGACTCGGGTCTGGGCCATCTGTGCTCAGGCTGGTGGCGGCATGGCCTGCAGAGCGCAGGAGGCAGCCTCCGCCAGAGGGAAGAAGCGAGACGGGGGCTTGGAAGGGGAACTCTTGCAGAAAGTCATCCTGGAGACGCCGGCCTGCAGTCCCCGAAGGTGCTCCTCAGGTGCCTCCACCCCAGCCCTGGGGCCTCCGGCTGCTGCCCTTAGAACAAGGTGCATCTTACCCAGAACGTGACCCACTGTTGGTGACCAAGAAGCCACCACAGCCTGACCCCAGCTTCCTCATCCCTTGCCTCCCTCCAGGTGGCACTGCTCTCCCCACTCTCACTGTCACAGGCACCCAAGAGAGGGTGGAAGGTGGCAGAGATGGGGGGTCATGGCACCTGTCACAGGCCCCAGCTGGCTGTGTGGCCCCACAGGCCCCTGGTGTCTCTGAGCCTGTCTCCAGCTTTAAGCTCCCGTACGTATGGACCGACTGCCTCCGCCTCTCAGGACACGCTGCCAAGCTGCAGGAAAGCCGGTGCAGGCTGCAAAGGCCTCATCGGTGCTGCCACTCCCGTGCCCTGGCAGATGCTTCAGCCTTTGGGGATGCCTCTCCTTTCACCTCCAAAAGTCCTGCCGCTGATCCAACAATCACAGTCACACTTCCCAGCAGTTCCCAAGCCCTGAGCTTCCCATACCAGATTCTGAACACACCTCCGCATCCCACAGAACCCCCAAGGAGCCTACCGAGAGGAAGGTCAGTGAAGATTCACGTGAGCAGAGATGTCCAACAGGCAGGCGTGCAGGGAAGAGGGGCAGGGGAGGAAGAGGCCGGGACGGAGGGTGGGCCTGAGCCAGACACCCTCGTGGGCGACTGCAACTGGATCCTGCCCGGGAGCTCTGGGACCCACCATGAAAGACATGCGTTCGAGGTCCACCCACAGGAGGGATCTGGGGTATTTATACACCAGCTCCCACGGACATGAGTAAAGGGCTCCTCCCCGGGGCGTTCACCTTCCAGGACTTCTGGCCTCCTCCAGGCCAGGTGGGCTCCTGGGCCACAGAAAGCACCCTCGAAAACAGATCCTTTTGGGGATAAGGTCTGACATCATTCGCTCTGCCTCACTAAGACGGGGTGGTGGGGGGTGGGGGTGGGGATCAGCACCAGTAGAGAAGTGAAGAAACGCTGGTTGAGCAGAGGAGGCAGGTGCCTGAAGCCCGGTCTCTGCGCCCGCACTGGTGCCTTCTTTCCATGTCCGCCTGCCTCCGTCTAGCCTGGGATGGATGGGCTGTCTGAGGAGGCAGACAGGCACATTTAGAAACTGCTCTTTCCTGAGTGGATGGCAGGACCTCACGAGGAACCTCTCCCACCCCGGAAACACCCCGGGTGACATTCTCTCCAGCTGGCGGGAGCTGGGCTTCTGAGGATGATTAAATGGATTTTTCCTCCCTCTCATGTGTGTTTCCTTCAAGGCCGCACGCAGGACAGAGCATTAACAAAGCAGCCAGCCCAGGGCAACATCAATCCAACAAATACAACAGCCCCAGAGCTTTGATTTAATAAAATCGGCCCCCACTGGGCCTCTTTAATTGTTTCCAGATTCTGAAAACATTTGAAAAGAGGATGCAAATGGAAAAATGTACCTCTGGCTACGGCAGCATCCCAGGCTCGCTGTGCCGAACTCTGCAAGGGCTGTGTCCTGGGAGAGCCACCCAAGCAGACAGAGCGGAGCCTTGGATGCTGCCGGGACCGATGTCCAGGAGAAGAAAGACGCTGGGAGGGAGGCTCTCTATCCATCAGACAGGGAGAGCAGAAGGTCACGCCAGTCATCACCTGGGCCTCAAGACAGGCACGTGCTGGGAAACTGGGCGGTGTTTTGTCCCCCAGAGGCCGTGGAGTTGTGCCATGTCAGGCAGAAGCCCCAGGATCTCCTCAGGAGGCAGGAGGTGACCACTAAGTGTCTGTCCAGTCCCTTCTGGCCAGGGTGACCCCAGAGGAGCGAAGCCACACAGGCCTCACAGCAGAAGGCAGCATGGCCACACCCAAGGAGGTACATGGGGTGGAGTCCAGCAGACCTGGATTTGAATCCTAGCTCTATCAACAGTGCGGCCTCAGGCATGTCCCTCACCTCTCAGCCTCGGTCTTCATACCTGCAACATGGGCTGGCTATGCAAACCATGGTAGCCCTCTCAAGTGTCCACAGAACGCAGCTACGTGTTGACACTGCCTCGGGTGCTGCTTGGTCATCAACACAGCGTGTGTGTGTAGCACACGGGCATCCCACCTACCATGCCACCTCTCTTGACAAGGCCTGGTGCTGCCCCAGGGCAGGAACCCAGAGACTCCAGCAGGCCTGCTACAGAGTGCCAGGCGAAAAGGTGTCTGGGGCGGCTCCTCTTCAGGGACACTGGCAGCTCTTTCCCCATGGCTTGGGCTTCAAGGTGGGCACAGAAGGCTGGGGCTTCGGGGGCTAGGGGAGGGCCATCCACGCGGAGCACAGGAGGCGGCACCAGGGGGACAGGAGTCTCCTGTTCTGTCCTAGGTTTCTAAGAATCTGCCTAACAGGAAAGAGTGTTTGTTACCTCCGTAAACATAAAGGTGAGAACACTCTCTCTCTCTCTCTCTGTCTCTCTCTCTCTCTCACACACACACACACACACACACACACACACACACACACACACACACACAGGCTCATGCTAACAGGCGCATTCCCACCCTGCGCTGACGCAGATGACAGCCTGCCACAGTCTGTATGTTACAAGTCAATTACACCCGCCTCCCAGCCTGCCTCTGATGCCGCTCGGGAGGTCATCTCACCATCTCGGGACACAGGGAAGGACGTGGGATGCTTCCCCAGGAGGGACCCGGCAGCCCTCAGGAGGCCACCTCCCGTCAATCAAAGGAGTAAATTGGAGGTGGGGGTGGCTCATTTATTTTCATCTCTCCATATTAGATGGTATGGTAATAAAAGGAAAAAAACCGTGTGGTTCTCGTGTGGCCTCGGGCAAGTTTCTGAATGGCCCTGACACTTGGTTTGGCCATCTGTAAAATGGGGGCCATGTCCACCCCAGGGTCATTTTCCTGAAAGGCCTTGACTCAGATAACACAGACCCATCCTTTCCTCCCTCCTGGTGTTTTCTGCAGCCTCCTCCTTCCGTCATTAAAATCAGAACTGGGCCCGGCACAGTGGCTCACGCCTGTAATCCCAGCAATTTGGGAGGCTGAGGCGGGTGGATGATGAGGTCACGAGTTCGAGACCAGCCTGACCAACATGGTGAAACCCCATCTCTACTAAAAATACCAAAAAACACTAGCCAGGCATGTTGGCACGCACCTATAATTCCAGCTACTCAAGAAGCTGAGGCAGGAGAATCACTTAAACCCAGGAGGCAGAGGTTACAGTGAGCCAAGACTGCGCCACTGCACTCCAGCCTGGGTAATAGAGGGAGACTCTGCCTCAAACAAACAAACGAAAAATCAGAACCTGATGGAAGGCAGAGGCAAGCCTAGCCCCTGCCCCGCCACCAAGTAGAAATAGGTCCTATCCTTCAGGTCCTCTGTCTGGGTAGCTTTGAGCATGGAGAGAACCTGGGTGTCCCAAAGTCCACCGGAACGGGGGTGGTTCATGGGTTCTCACCCAGGGGGCTGGGCACCGACAGAGCCAATGCCTGCTGAGGAGGGCAGAGGGTGCCTGGACAGCCGCACCCCTTCTGCTGAGGCTGTGCCGGCAGGTGAATCGTCCAGGCCCTTGGGGAGCTCCAAGGCCGGGTGCACACTAGGATCACAGCGGCAGCAGCGCCCCAGGCCAGCCTCACAGGCCTCACTCCCGTCCTTTACAGCAGGACGGGGTTTAATCAGACACCTGGACGAGGATGAAGGTGCCCCTTGGCTGACACGGCTTGCAGCCCAAAGTCAGCACCCCTGACTTACAACCTCCTCTCCCCACTCCCAGAAGAGTGACAGCATCTGGGGTGGGGGCGAGACAGGGAAGGGGAGCTGACCTGAGTGCACGATGCAGAGGGGGGCACTTGGGGCTGGGCGAGGTCACTCAGTGGGGGCCTGGTGGTGTTTCTGCTATGGCCATTATCGCTATCAGGAGGAGGACTGGTGGGGAGCACAGCCGGCAGCTGAACAATGCTGTGTGTGAAATTAACCTTTGGCGCCAGTGTCCTGCGGAACCCCTGCCTGGTCACGCCCTGTGCCGGTACCAGGGCCTCAGAGAGTCGATGAGCTGCAGGCCCTTCCCTGGAGAATGGCTGGCCCCGGCAATCCCCCAGGGCAGCAGGATGGACAGCACCATGTGAGCAAATACAGAGGCCGCACGGCAGAGCGGGGGGAGGCGGGCACGGTGAACCCACCTCCTTACCTACCGGGGCAAAGCCTGGCAGCCTCTGGGCCATGCCAGGCGGTGACGTGAGCTCTTGACAAGTATCACTCATTTAATCCTGGCAACAACCCTCTGAAGTGGGTGCTGCTGTTAGCCCCATCTCCCAGATGAAGAAACCGAGGTTCAGAGAGGCCACTTAGCTGGGGCCAGCAGTTAGTCTGTGGCAGAGCTGGGTGAATCTGGCATTTGGCTCATGGCTCATGTTTAACCACCACATTCTGATGCCCCTTGCACAGTAGGAGCAGATCAATACAGTGTCCTGGTCGTTTGAGGAGGGGTTGTCTGCAGTGGGTTTTGAAAGATGAATAGGAGTTGGTTGGGCAAAGGAAACAACACAGGGGTCAGGGAAAGCTTGGACGTGCTCAAGAGAATGGAGAAAAGAGAGTACAGCAGGAAGGAAGGGCAGGTCAATGCCCAGCACATAGTAAGTGCTTAGTAAATACTTGCTGAAGCAGGTGCTGGGGGAGATAGCAGCTAGCCGCAAGCTTGCAGGGGTGGCTAAGGAGCGTGACTGTCCTTTAAACCACCTGCACACACGTGCACACAGGCCCCTCCCCATCCCCCACAGTCACCACCCTCCTTTCCTTCCTGCCAGCCCCTCCATGCCAGGTATCCTTGGGAATCCACCAAGGGGGTGACAGAGAAAAGAGGAGACTCGGGCAGGCAGGGGCACGGCAGGGGTGGGAAAGCTGGTCCACTTTGCTTCTGGATTTTTATGGTTTTGGAAAATATGCCGGAGGCAGGGGAGGTCAGCCATCTGCTGCCACCCCCACTGCCTGGGCACTCTGGTGGGGAGGGGGCTGGAGATGCAGCTAGGCCTCAGACAAGGGGTGGGGGTCTCGGGGGAGGCCAGCCCAGGCAGCCACCGCCGCTGCTGCTCTGATAACCTTCAGCCCTGACCTCATTTCCCACTGAGGCTCGTGCAATTTCTTCCAATTTTCCACATAATTAGCTGAGCGGGAGACGCGTCCCCTGCTCTGGAGGCCCAGCCTCCCAGGCAGGAAGGAGCCAGCCACCTCAGAGCCCAAGGGCCTGTGGCTGAGAGCAGAGCCATCCCCCTGCCTGCTCCCTCCTATACCCTGGCTAAGCAGGAACAGACATCCAGAAATGGGAGGGTCAGGGGGGACCAGGGGGCATAGAACGAGGAGGCTGGTTTCCACTCTCCACCGGCTGGCTGTGTGGCTCCAGCTCTCACCCTCTCGGGCCTCAACGCACAGGTCACATATGATCAGTACCTGCAACCCTGTCTCTGCCCACCCCTTCCTGCCCCACCTTCATGCTCACCTTTGCTGGCAGGCCCCAAACCACCCCTTCCCTCCCTGGAGAGGTTAGGGGGTGCAAGGGCTAGGACGGGGCATCTAGGAGGCCCACAGCCCAGCTCTGCACCAGACCCTTCCCTTATCTGCTGGGTGACAGGCAGAAGCTACCTCGAAGAACAGGTCCTCGTGCTGGAGACCCTCAGTACTGGCCCTGCTCCCCGCCTGGTGGACGGTGCCACTGCTGTCCAGTTAGAGAGAAGCCTCAGGATGCTTCTGGAATGCTTGCCATTGGAAGTCTCCAATTTGGCTCCACAGAAGCCGGGAGGGAAGGAATAAAGGTCTCCCTGCTGGGACCCAACAAACACTGATCCATTCCTTGGGCCTCAGTTTTTCTAAGTGAGCAATGAGCAAGGCCACTGAGCTAGAAAGCATTCCTAGAAAGAGAATACACATGCCCAGCAGCCTCACCC